AAACAAAATGCCTTTGAAGTCACCTAATTAGTAAATAGAGTATAATTGCGTGTGATTTATTCTCAGAATGCAGCTGTTGTGTGAAGGCCTCAGAGGTTTGTTAGAGAACATTAGTAAATAAAGAGCATCATCATGAAAACAAAGGGAAACAGCAGAAAATTCAAAGAGAAAGATGATGAGAAGTTTAAACAGAATTAGGTGTAAAAAAAAAAATTATATAAAGCTCCTAGAATCACTGTTCAGTTTATCATTCTGGAGGGAAAAAGAGTACTGCAGAACTGCAAACCCATTAAGATATTTCAATTGAGTCTAGCCTAAACTGACAGACTAGAAACGGAAAACATTAACCATTAAGCAACCAATAGAGCAATGGTAACACTGGAGGAGCCGCAGAGACTCACAGCTCAGGTGGGAGAATCACTCCACAGGATAGCAACATTGAAGAGATAAAAAAAAAAAAACTTTTGCTTCAAAGACATACATTTCATTTTTCTGGTCTCTCTGCAAATAAAATATAAATCTTGATGAAAACTAACACATGATGACTAATATGAGGTTATTTTTTTCTTCAGAGGTGCAGGGTCAGCCCTGGTCAGAGGTGGTGAGAAGCTGGACTGAGCTAAATGACTTTAAATAAAAATTTCTCCACAAAGAGATAATAGAAGCTGTTTATCTTCTGTTCAATCATAGAAAACAAAAAATCTTTCTCACGTTACATGTTTAGGCAAAGCCTGTTGAAAACTTACTTAAATGACCAAAAGCTGCACAAAAACAGAGTGAAAATATGAAGACCAGTCAAAATGGAAATAGATTTCACAAAAGCATTTTTTTTTAAAAAAAAGACACAATACAGACAAAAAGGTAGCAAAGTTTACACATTAGATCAAATGTAGAATGTTTAAGTCTCTAAATATAATGTTTCCTCACTTGGCTTTTTCTGACTTTGTCAGCTTTGGTCACCAGGGAGCACATGAGAAAATCTGACAAGTCCAAAACTAATATACAAAATTGAAATTGAAGCCTTGCTTGGATTTCTTACAGGTTGCACATTGATCTTAATATCCCAGCAAAATCAGATCAACCTTCTGGTCTTGTCCTTTTGTGTTGGGTCCATTTTTAATCAATAAACAATTTTAATCTAATAAGAGAAAATTCAGAAAAGAATATAGATTATTGCTCATGGATGCTTCTCTGACGCACCTGCAAAAATGCAGAAAAACCAGGACAATAATAAAAACCTTTTCTAATACAAAGCGTAGCATAGCAGCATGAAAATGAAAGTATAAAACATTAAATCATAAATTTTTCAGCTGTTTGCTGAGCTGCTTCACAAAGAGCTTTGAAAACAGGGGAAAACATTATCTGAAAAAACTTTATCATTCTCTTAGCATTTAGGTAAATTGTAGATCCCTTCACAGATGGGTTCAAACCCCACAATGTGTTATGTAAAGAAAAAAAGAAAAAAAAAGAATTTAGAGTGGGAACTGAGAAATCATTTATAGGGGAGCAGGCACAGGGAGCATCTTCAGTGAGTGGAAGCAGATACCTAATGACTCCAGGAAAAGAAAACATTCAAAAAAAAAAAAAACAAGACAATATGCTAAATGCTCCATCAAACTTAAATCCATCTGTCACCACATCCTATTGCCACACAGTGACAGTTGCTCTCTAAAAGCTATGCTATCAGCAGCAAACACATTTTGACAAGTAAACAAATCATTTAAAGCATCTCAGTAAATTAACAGAAATCTGGGACCAGTAAGCATAAAAAGCCTTTTCAAAGCCTTTTTAAATATAATCTGAGAAGATGAGAAACTGCCAGGCTGCATCAGCATGGAGGCGATCTGACTCACTGTATCCTCTAGCTTATTCATCACAAATTTCATAGGACAGATTACTCCACGCTCGGTCAATGTTACTGTGTCCATTAAGCTCTTTGGAAACTGTCTAATTGACTGCAGCCACTCAGAGCTCTATTGGTGGTCTATTCCCTGCAGTATTGTAACTGGGAACACTGCTTTAATTCAATTTGCTGCACGCCGCGAGTAAATTTAAATCACTGTTCTTTGTGTGCTGCTTAGTACTCACTGCCCCTGACTCGGGTTACTACTCATCTCAGCTGATGGGGTCAATCCAGAGAGGCGCAGTGACTCAGACATGTTGCCCCATCAGCGCTCTGCCTGTGAACAGACGACATTAACATACTGAGGACAAGCGGGATACGACAGGGGACGAGAGATCAATCCAATGGTAATGTGGCAGCAGCACACTGTTATGCTGGCCATGTGTGCTAAAAGCGTGCCGATGTGAGTCAACCGTTGGAGACATTCAGTACACTCATATAGTTTAAACCCATGACACTCACCTTGTTTTATTCCTGCTGTCTGTTCACACCCACCCACTGTTTGCTTAGAGGAATTATTTAGCAGAACAAAACTTTACAGAATGTCCCAGTTGGTGGCAAACAATGCTGCAGACCTTATATCACCTTTAGATGAAACACCAGGTCAGGAAGAAGAGCTGTAATTCTGACAGGTAGATTGCTTTAGCCCCTCTGCCATCCCCAGGTCGCTTGTTTGTTGACTCCCACCCTGTCAGATAACTATGGCCTTTCTGGCAGAAAGCATCAGTGAAAGTCAACATGTTAGAAAAGAGGACAGTTTCCTGAACAGTAATTGAGAGGTTGGTGTGTTGACCTGGGAGATTTTCTCTAATGAAAGTCGTCACAGATAGTAGAAAAACACACACTGCTAACAATACAGAGGAGATGTGATGTGTGATGCCAAGTTAAGACACACTTATTTGGCTATAAGAGATAATTATTAATGGGCTCACATCTTTCAAGGGTCAAGCATTTAGGATTTAGTAATCCAAGATAATCTCTACAGTAGCTGAAAGTGGGACATTGCTTTGTGTTCAGCCTCTTTTTTTTGATATTTTTAAAATTCACCAAATGAATAAGCAAATTCCCATTGGATGTAACTTAATCTCAGGTGTTCTGCGAAGGCCTCAGAGGTTTATTTGACAACATTAGAGAAAAAACAGGATCGTAGAGACCAAGAGACACAGCACTCAGGTCAGATGTATTTGTATGCTCATGTTTAAACTAGTATTAGGTCCCAAAGCAATGAAAAGCCTAATCTAAAAATGGAAAGAGAGCTGCACAACCTGCAAAGTTACAGGCACCCACCTAAACTTACAGTTGAAAGAAAGTGAGCATAAAATAGAAACCGTGAGACCGATGGTTCTTATGTAGGAGGATATTGAGATCCACAGCACATGGTGGCAGAATATGCTGAGAGTAAATCTACCTGTTGCTCACTACAGATTTACATTTAAAGCAAAAGAAGCAAGAAGAAGGTTGATGTTAAAATAAAGCTATACAGAGGCGTATATGTAGTTTGCTGTATGTCATGTAGTGGACACAGCAAATATAGATGAAGGTAAAACCTAAATTGAACTCCTTTGTCCTGGTGGTATACACAGCCTTTACATTACCCAAAACACACCATTCCTACCCTGAAACATAGTGATTCAAACATGATTTCAGGATCTTCAGGGAAGCTTCTCTTCAGGAAGGACATGGCAAGTCCCTGTTGTTGAGAATATAAATGATGCTAATTTAAACAAACAATCCCCTAAAGAAAATGTTTTAAAGCCTAAAACAATGGATTTGAGATGAAGACAGAGGTTCACCATCCAGCAGGACAATAAACTTAAACATACAATGACAGCTGTTAGATGAAAGAACATCCCTATGTTACCCAAAGTCCAGAACTAAATTTGAAAGTTAAATTTGATGCTTACAATTGCTCTTGATCCAAACTGTCTAAGGTTGGAAGAGGAATCAGGGATTTCATTTTCCAGACAGCCATCAAAGCCAACTACAGCTACAGGTCTTCTACAAAACAATGAGCTAGGTAATCTGAATGCAAATGCACATTTTTCAAATTTGTTCAATTTGTTCTAAACAAATGTGTAAAGCATTCATAATTTGTCCTCTTCTTAACAAATAATATATAAGACTGAAACAAAAAACAAAATAGAAGTTTTTGGTGGTAATGCAACAGAACATGGAAAGGTTCAAGTGGTATAAAAAAATATTGCAAAGCCCCATGTATAATGTAAATCACAAAGAAATGATTCACAGCCATTTGAGGTCTGACTTTGACTCATAAAGTGGGATTCTCTCTAAGCTTTCTAAATTCCTCTAAATTCCCTCTGTGTTTAAACACTGGAGGAGCGGCAGCACAAAAATGGGATTTAGGACTTGGATTACTGCTGAAAACCCCCGTAAAACTGATTTAAGAGAGTAAAGCTTTAAAAATGTACATTCTTAATTTTTGATTTGCGAATATTTGCACAACCATTATTTAAATACAAACATTTGAGTGACTGGCAATCGAAAACATGATCTAAAAAAGACAAAATAGAATTACATTTCTCTAAAATCTCATATAAGCAAAACAAAGATACCCAAAGCTGTGTCTTGACATGATCATTTATTTAAATCTGTCTTCTACTGATCAAGGATGACCCCTGGTTGTGTAAAAGGCCAGTCTGCTCTGCCTTTGCATAGACAGAGTTTATGTAGATGGAGCTGAAGCATCATATGATCAGCTCATTTAAATGAACTGACTCCGAGCTCTGCTGTTTTACTTAGAAATCTACTGAAGACATCTCGCGATCGATTAGAAAAATGTATTATTTCCTCAGGAGGGGGTGCAGTTTACAAAGTGATGCTCCAAGGCTTTAAGTCAGTCTCCATAGCAACTAGTAACGACATCTGTTAGTGAAAATGGGATAAATAAGGTTTGTATATTGTCTTCTGGCTGCAGCTCCAAAGAGGTGCTGATGAGTTAAAATAAAAAAAGAAAACGTAACCTGAATGTTTCTGTATACTAAGATCATTGAATGTATGTTTTAATTTTTTATTTTTTGTGAGGTTAAAGTAGAATTATTTAGGGGTTAAATGTCTGCTTAAAAGTAAGCCACATTACCTGACTGGCACTTGCTGGGAAGGAGGAGATTGGCGGGACGTCCAAAATTTTTAACTCGTACATGTTCCCGTTCAGAATGACCGAGGGTCTGTATACATATCTGCTCCTGGTCGGCGTGTATGCCTCCGAGAAATCGTTATAGATGAACTGGCGGATTATAGAAGTTTTGCCCACCCCGGGAGCACCGATCACTGCGATACTCAGCGTCTCCACCATTCCTGGAGCCCCAGTTCAGCACCATGGACAGCGACAGGGACAGATGCGTACCGTCCAGTAAACACAGCTGGATCCTCCTGCTGCTGCAGCCTCTAAAACCGCCTTAGGTGGCCTCAGCAGCGGGCGAAAAATACACAAATCATCCAAAGCGAGGAAACTTCAATTCTCAGGTGAGAGCAACAAGAGATTGTCACAAATAGAGGCTCGAGCATGATCCTGCAAACGGAGGGAAACGGTTCTTAGTCACCTCTAGGAAACAAACTCTTGTTTTTTTTCTGAGGACATCCCCGGAGAGGAGCAAAACAAAGTCCGTCCTTGCAGTCTCCACTTGGACATAATCTCATCCACGCTCCGCTCCGACCTTTCCCAGACGCGTAAGACCTCTCCGCGCCTTCACTGATTGCCTCCTCTGAGCCTCTCGCTCATTTTCCCAGCGCTGCAGCACCGCCTGCGCTCGTTCATGGCAGCGGGGGGAGGAAGGGAAGGCGCACAGCCGTGGGGACTCGTAAAGAGGCTCTCCACGTGTTCTGCAATGGGCTTAAACCTCCCTGCCGTTTCTCTTTCTGATGCTCAAGGGAAGTGGGAGCAAAGGGTCCTCACAGCCGACAGAGGCGCGTCAGCTGTAAAGGCATCTAGAGTGCGATCAGGAGCGCTTTGCGTCTGCAGTTGGAGAGACAGGAGCTCTCTCTCTCTCTCTGTCATCGGAAATATCCCCTGCACTGCTCATCCAATAGGATAAGGTCGTGCGCAAAACGCGAGTGAAAGCGCGGTGTTCCCATAACGCCACGGAATAAATGATAAAATATCAAGACACACACTCACACAAACACCCCGCACCATGCATCAGCACGGTGCGGGGGTCATAGTGCCTGAGCAGCACATCTCTGAGGTGACTTTTGAGCTGCTGGATGGGGTCTAAAGGTAAGGCTCAGTCAATATGTGGCATCAATCACAGCCTGGTGACAGCTCCCCTCAGTGGACCACTTGGAGGAAAAACAAAACCTGATCTATCTAGCTGGAGATTAGCTTCTGACATCAGGAAAAACTTGAACTGTGAAGGTTTCATTGATTTATTATTCTTTCTGTAGTTATGTAAAAAAAACAAAACAAAAAAACATTTTAAAAGGCAGCATACAGACCCGAAAAAAATATATATATATATATATATATATATATATATATATATATATATATATATATATATATATATAAATAGGGATAATATATTAAGCATTTTTACTTTTTAATAAAGCTTATTTTTGTCCAGAGTGAAATAAACAGAAAAATCATCTGGAATTAATCTTAAATACTGAATCGGTTGCAGATGTTCGAATTTATTTTAGAGTTTCCTTTAACAAGTGATGTCAAAGTTTCAGCTTCCTTGCTACTGAGTTAAGGAGAGGTTGAATATTCTACCTTCCTCCTCTTGTGATCCACATTAAGAGGAAGTGAGTTTTGTGCTCTGGTTAAAAGCCTGGTATCTGCCTCTTTAAAAATTTCCATTTTGAGGTGAAATCACTCAGTCTTTGTCTCAGGTGATCATGAAGCTTTCAACCCAAAAAGCTTAATGGTCTGGGTACACATAAGCAGCTGTAAAGGATTCCTCCTTCATCAACACCTTGCTATAATATGGCAAAAGAAAGCTTGTAAGACTGAGAACAGTGATGCTTCAGTAGTTCTCAGTTCATGGCAAGCCTGCTAAACCTTGAGATTCCAAGACTGTTGCTCACAAATTGATGTTCTTCTGAAGGTATTTGTCCGAGTCAGATGGTTGAAACGTGGATAGTTTGATGTTCCAATGTTCCTGTTGGCTCTGTTGAAAACCTCTTCTCAGGAAAAAAACTAAACAATTTAAAAGCCATGCATTTTTTTGTTTGTTTTGTTTTTTATACAAAGAGTCATACAAATACCTGCCTGGGTATCTGACCACCCAGGCAGGCATTTAAAAGGCTTTGTGATGGCTAAATAAACTTGAAAAAAATATGCTCTACAACTTGCTAAACTATATCTAATCAAATCATACCAGGATTTAGGTCTTTATTCTAAGCAATATGTTCTGTATATTTGGACCTTTTGTAGACAAAATAACAAAGAGAAAATCTTTGTTAAAATAACACTTCTGGGTAAATACTTTGTTATTCACTCATTTAAGTAGTTTTTTGAGCTATTAACCCTGAATAAATTTGAACTTTTTGCTCAACAATTTATCTGCAGTCACAAGCCAAGGAAACAATACATTTAACAAACATTACTCATAGCAATAGTAACTTGTTTATATGTACACATAGCATCTAAAAACATACTTCATTAGAATCAGCCTTAATAACAAACTTTAAATCTCACCAACCAAAGCCCTTACAAGAGGAGAAATAATCTGTTCCCAGTGCTGGCAAAGCTAAAATTTCGTGGACATGTTTAGATTGTTTGCAACAGACTGATTAGTCCTTCATGAGGCATCAATTTGATGTTCAGCCATCAAAGCTTTATTAAGCCAGCAGTGTCAAAATATTAAAAACGAATCGTGTTCTGATATTTTCTACTCTCAACATGAACATATATCTGCCAATGTTGTTGCTGCACTGTCATAAAACATTTAACAGGTGGATGGATGGAATCTTGGAATAAATCCAAAACGACTGATATGATACGGTACTTCACAGCTTAAAGGCATTAAATACACTGGATTATTTTTTTTAATCCCACTGTTTTCCCATTCAACACTACAGTACTAATTTATACTGAAAGGTAGAAACGATTTTCAGCTTGTTCTGTAAACCAGGATGAGACTGTACCAATAACATAGGTGAATTGGTGCCCCCTGTTGGATTTATTTTATAGCAGATGATAAATGTCAGAGATTGCCCTATTACTGGAACAAAAAGTGACACTTTCACAGATTCTGAGCTGTGACTTTATCAACAGCAGCTACCATGTTGCTGAACACAGAATACATTTCTCTCTCCCAGTTAGAGTTCAGGATTATTTGTATTTCAAATTAGCTCAACCAGTGGAAGTCCTGGTTACACTTAAAATGCACTTTGGACTTAAAAACCTTGTTGCTGCTTTGGAGACGGACCTTCGTGCTGACAGGATACAGTTCTCATACTGGCTTACAAAGATATTCGTGCTTATTGAGCTTGTTTTTTATTTTTATTTTGCCATGGTACATCATGTGATGCACCTTAGTTTTTTAGGTTATTGATCAAGATATAGTATATAACCATTAAGTGGAAGGATGAGGATACAAGAATTTATCATTCAAAATAACATTTTTAAATGTGCAGCATTCATCTTTTGACTCTTATTTTGCTTAAAGAAGCCAAATTGATCAAGTTTAGTCAAAAAGAACAGAATGTGAGGAGAGGCTAAAAAATGCTTCCAAGTCTTGGGTGTTAAATGAGAGATCTGGACTTTGACTAAGCCTTTTTATGAACTTTGAGGATTTTAACTGCACCTTTGTGACTGACTGTTGTAGAAGAGATCCAAGCAGTTGCACTAGACTTATAGAAGTTATCATTTCTTTTTGGTCTCTAACAAACCTTTGAGGCCTTATACTCAGATCTATGCTGGATTTAAATAAGATAGCAAAACAATTACACACAACTGTATAATCCAGATTTTAGGCATCAGTTTTGGAAAATCAAGTATCGTCTTTTTTTTTTTCTTTCATTTCATAATTTGGTATTGGACTGAACTGGTTTGCTAAAAGATTCAAGACTATCGTTTTAACAGAAAACTGTAACTCTCAGATTCCATATCTTCAGTCAGCACTCCTCGACGCTTTGGGTCCTGCAGAACACTTGCACTGTCATGTTAATGAGAACTGTTTCACATCCATAGCTGCTCCTCCGAAAATCACCATCAAAAGCATGAAGCCAAGCATTTTTTGCTCCGCCGGAAGTTGGCCTGGTAAAGATCTACAATTGCAATCGCACCAAACAGGAAAAAGAACTCTGAAAAGATCGGTTTGTCAAAGTAAAATAGGGTAAAGAGAAGTTAGTAACTACTAATTTCAGCATACATTTTTTATATATATATATAAATAAATATAAAAAAGGCAGGTTGACTGGATGCACACTATTGGTACTTTAACAGACCAGGAAGCAGCATTTTTCATCTCAATCAAAATATTTATCTTAAACTGAAAGGCTTAGAAGTTTAGTTCAATCCAGTCACAACAACTTCCAAGAGCGCATCTCACAACTTTTAAACAAGCCTGTTATCACAGGCATGGATGAAGAGATGCAGATTTTGGACGTAGAAAACAAACCAATTCTGTATGATCCTAGTTATTGTTATTACAAAAGACTCATAATGAAAATATGTTTGGGCAGAAACTGCAGGCGTAATGGATGCTGATGGTGAGTTTTATTTATGTCACATTCAATTAATCGTTCATTAAATCGAATTTTGTTCCTATGAATTAAATACTATTGCGCATGCTCTCATCAAGAGACAAGGAACTCAGAGCGGAGCAAGACGGGAGGAACCGAGGAAGCTGCAGGCATCACTTTGCACACATTGTTTGGAATGGAGCGCTTACGGAAGATGTGGGATTTCAGGGGAAGCTACTGTAGAGCTGAGGTTTAGGTTTGACAGAAAAGCGTCTGACTCCAAGTGTGCAACAATGGAAGCTGGTGACTTAGGGGAGCAGAGTCATGGTGGTTACAAAGCATGTGGGAAAACATACCTGTCGGGTCTATTAAATGACAGATTTAGTGTTTTACATCCTGGGTAATATGGAATATCAGAAGAAAAAGAAACCCCACATGGATTCATCAGGACTTTTAATTGTTTTTTTTGTGTGTCTTTTTAGATGAACACATACAGCAAAATTAAGTAAATCAAAAAACATCTGATTAAACATCTGATTAATTAACGCAGCATGTCATCGTAATCATCTGTCACTGCACACAAAGAATACACAGCCTTTCACCAAGTAGAGAAGGTGCAATTATGCCACTGAGACAAAGGGCTTCAGTGTGACGACCCGGAAAACAAATGAGCCCCCCTTCAGGTGAGACTGTGTTCTACCTACATGTATGCTCTTATCTGTAACAGATGACATCAGTTTGTGTCACCTGGGCCTTCATCTTCGGTGGAGAGCTGCAGCGAGGATTCAGAGGAAGAGGAGCAGAGTGGCAGAGAGCCCGAGAGGCCGTTGCTGACGCAGGAACAGACAGGACACAAAAAAAAAAGGACCCAGAGGCTCTCTTCCAGTCTGCTTCACGGAGACCGACAGCAAGAATACAAAACACAAAATAAAGCATGGAATGACGAAGCATGAGAGCAATGGGCTGACACCTGCTGCTACTCTATAAATGTCAAGATATTGATGTAAAAATTTAAGAAAAAACACACAGATTTCTATGCACACGTCAGACAGACATTCTGCTTTTAGGGGTAGTAGATCCAAATCCACTGCTCCACACAGACACTAAAGAAAGCTTTATAAAATCACTATAGTGTAGTTTAAGTATTTATGTGTCCACCTGACACTTGCCTCTTTCACCAGCACCACAACCTAAATGCACCCCCTAATAAATATGCTGAATCTGATGGTTCACCTGCTGATTGCAGGCGCTAAAAATAGAGTGAAGTTTGCAGAGAAGTGGGGATAGAAAATGATTGTAGAGCCACATGCTGTGGAAGTTAGAAGGACAGAAGTCAGGTCACCATCTGGCCCCTAATGAATACGGGTCGTTTTGAAAGAAAAGCAAAGCAGACAAGAGATGTTCTAATAATTTTGCTAAAGACAAAACCCTGAAGCTAAAAAGTGAATAAAGATTGAGTAGCTCAAATCAATGCTGTCTTTTCAGAAACTAAAAGTGCCTCAATAAAGGAGCAGACGGTGCAGCCTTTTAGATAAGGACTGTATGAGTTGGTTGGGACGCCGGTGAAGGGAGAGCAGAAGGTGCTGCGGTGTTGGTGAAGCAGCTGCTGACCGGGTGCTCGGCTTTTTGGATCAGTTCTTCAGCACCGCCTCGTAGCTCTGGAACACGCACTGAGAAACCTCTGGAGCCCTGCACTTCAGACACACCTGAGGAACAGAAGGGACCCGATTAATGACAAATGGGTTCTGATGAGCTAAAATAAAGTAAATCTTAGCTGATTGTTCATCATTTCACAATATCTTTCTGTCTAATAATTCTTAAAATAGAATGTTCAACAAAAAAAGGCCTATTATCATTTTCTTTTTTTCTATTCATTCTTTTTGAAGTGATTTCCAATTCTTTTATTTTCTAAAAAAAATCTTCCTTTTATAAAAGATTACAGACATTTGAATACAAAGTATAACTGCTCAGAAACCATTAAAAATGACACCAAGCTAAGACTGCTTATTGGTTCCAGCACTTTTATAAAATCTGACCAAACATAAATCAACTCAATATTATACATTAAACACTTTGACCTGTCAAATAATCCAACACTAAACACAGATTCTCTGAAGTATAGCTTGAGAATTGGTACCATTATCTTTTTAGAAAAAAACAAACAAAAAAAAGATATGAGCGACATTTTTTACAACAAGTTCTTTTAACTAAATAAATAAATAAAAAGCATTGAAGAAAATTAGATAATTATCCTGACTTTTAAAACTATATATAACTTTCTGTTCTGTGTGATTTCTTGTAAATTCTATTACTATTATTTCTTGTTTTAAATGTAAAACTGCATTTTAACTGAGTGTTTACGGCTTTGTATTAATAAACTCTTTGCCCAATTAATAAAGTCACCAGTCAAAAATAAAGCCAATGAGGATTAAAAACATAAAAAAAAGAAATAAATTATATTCATAAAAAAAAGAACTGACAGACATTTTAAGAATAATGGATAAATAAATAACATAGAAAAAGCATATTTTTATCTTTACATCTCATAAACAATCATTTTGAGTTTATTTTCAGTATATTATTGGGTGACAATGTTGAGGAGTTGGAAATAATTAATTTTTAAAAATTCATCCGGACACAGGAATAATTTTTCCTAAAGGAGGAAGAAAGAGCCTGGAATCAAAAGCCCGTTATCAGGGACACGCAGACCTACTGTCAGAAATATAGATATATAAGCACAGTGGAGGAAGCAGCGCCAGCCTTCCCACCCTTTGATGTCGGTCTCAGCTGGGAAAAAGGTTCTGGATTTAATGGAGCCTTATAAAGTGAACCCCCCCTCCCCATTCAGACTGCACATATTATTTTTCTCCTAACCAGGGGCAGGCTTGTTTACTGGGGTTTGGTTGCATCAGATGAGATTATACCATTAACTTGCACTCTGATTGAGAGAATATAAGGGAGGTGGGAAAAACACGGTAATTAAAATTCTGCAAGGTGAAAAACCTCTCAGCCATGGCCAAAAGCTTTAATGACCCACACGTCTCTGCAGAAAAGGACAAGAACCAATCCAAACAGAGACGGCCAAATGCACAGAAACCATCACAGAGCCTTTGTTTCTGCTTTTATCACAATCGCTGCTCAGAACCCAATCTGTTAGACTGAGGAGGAGCTGGCTGGTGTGTAGGAGGGAGGGTCACATTGCAATTCTACAACCCAAGACCGTACAAGCAATACCAAACCCAAGAGTGGCACATTCACATACGGAGAGGCATTTTAAAACAACAGCTCGCAGTGACTGGTGGATCTTTCATCTTGTTCGACAGAAAAGGACAACATGACCTCTCTTTCCAGTATTTATTTGATGTTCTTTTGACTGGATTTGATGTAGATTTTTTTTTCTTCCTTTGTATTTTGTGGAGTAATCCTCCATTATCCTAATTACAAGGTGGTGTGTTGACTCATTTTGTTTAAAGCCATCCGTTGTCTGTAGCCTGTCCCTGTATCAGTGCCACTAATTCTCTATAATGTTTGCTCCATTATCTTAATTACACTGATCAGGTATTTACCTGAAATGTGATGAGTTGGAGAGCTGCAAAGTAGGATGTCGATAAATAAAGCTGTGGCAGTGCACAGCCCGTTTTTTTTTTTTTTTAAACCAATACATGCTGCTGCTGGCAGCGTTTAGACAGCTGTGCTCCTATCAGCAAGATGGCAGGAAGCGCAGAAGCTCCTGCTACTCTGGACAACTCATAACTGCAGCGCTCCAGAGCTCAGCTTCCAGCTTGTTTTTATTTTCTTAACAGCACCATGTCCTCAGAGTATAAGAGCGAGGAAATTACAAACTGAAGTAGGAGGAAGAGGAATAACGGGATGTTAAATATTAATGGAATTTTCCCGCATCATTTTATCCCCCCCTCCAAAAATATTGAACATTTACAATTGAAGTGTTACAAATCTGCAACTTTAGGTTAACGTTTTTTTAAAAACAGTCTGGAAATAAGGTCACTGTGAATCAAACATTTAAGATTTCAGTGCAGTATTCTGGAGATATCAGTATTTGATCCACATCAAATTTATCTAATCATATTTTTAAAGTAAAATCAGTACAGGCAGATTTATTGACACCCTAGGAGAAGCCAATTTTTCCTTCCATCCTTGTAGTAATTCTTCACCCATTCAGCGTATTTAAAAAGGAACCAACAGCCAGGTAGTTTGCTATAGTCGTGTGCTCCATGCTGCAGATCTCAGAAAGGTCTAGGATATTCAAGTAAAGGTAAAGACAAGAAAATAGGGCTGCCAGCTGCTTGAAAAATACACTTTGTCCTCATCATATTCCACCCTACCAACATAAATCCC